TGGGAGAGTGATAGCCTATGCATCCCGCCAGCTAAAGACGCATGAAGTAAACTACACGACCCATGACCTAGAGTTGGGAGCTGTAGTCTTTGCCCTAAAAATTTGGAGGCATTACCTTTACGGTACAAAGTGCACCGTCTTCACGGATCACAAGAGTCTCCAACACATCTTAAACCAAAAGGAGTTAAACATGAGGCAACGAAGATGGGTTGAGTTGCTAAACGATTATGAGTGCGAGATTAAGTACCACCCAGGCAAGGCCAACGTGGTAGCTGATGCATTAAGTCGGAAGGAGTACTCTAATCGTTGTACAAAAACTCTCTCGATAACCATTCAGTCACACCTGGCCACTCAACTTGCAGTAGCCCAGTCAGAGGCCATGAAGACGGAAAATAGAGCAAGCGAAGTATTGCGCGGAATGGAAAAGAACCTGGAGGCAAAGGAGAATGGAGTATACTATTTCATGAACCGTATTTGGGTCCCTAAATTTGGAGGGTTTAGAGATGTTGTCATGAAGGAAGCCCACAAGACGCGATACTCCATTCACCCCGGTTCTGATAAGATGTATTTGGATATTAAACAACACTATTGGTGGCCTAACATGAAGGCGGAAATCGCGACCTACGTCAGTAAGTGCCTTACATGCGCCAAAGTAAAGGTGGAATACCAGAAACCTTCAGGATTGTTGCAGCAACCGGAAATTCCCGAGTGGAAATGGGAGGGGATTTCTATGGATTTCGTTACCAAGCTACCCAAGACGTCGGACGGACTGGATACCATATGGGTAATCATCGATCGACTGACGAAATCTGCCCATTTCCTGCCAATCAAGGAATCCTACAAGATGGAGAGACTGACGCGGTTGTACCTACGAGAAATCGTGAGACTCCATGGAGTGCCAAAATCTATTATCTCGGATAGGGACAGTAGGTTTACGTCCCGATTTTGGCAATCACTCCATAAGGCGATGGGAACAAACCTCGATATGAGCACCGCTTATCATCCACAAACGGATGGTCAAAGCGAGCGAACTATCCAAACGCTCGAAGATATGCTCCGTGCGTGCGTGATAGACTTTGGAAAGTCTTGGGATACCCACCTACCCTTAATCGAGTTCTCATACAACAATAGTTACCATTCGAGCATCAAGGTGGCTCCTTTCGAAGCACTTTACGGACGTAAATGTAGATCACCGTTATGTTGGGCTGAAGTAGGTGACACCCAGCTAGCAAAAACACATGCGTCGGACAAAGCACTAACGGGACCGGAGATCATCCGTGAAACCACGGAAAAGATCGTTCAAATCAGAGCTCGATTGCAAGCATCGCGTGACCGACAAAAGAGCTACGCTGACAAACGGCGAAAGCCCTTAGAATTTCAGGTCGGTGATCGAGTACTGTTAAAAGTCTCGCCCTGGAAAGGGGTTATACGTTTCGGAAAACGGGGAAAGCTGAACCCGCGATACATTGGACCTTTCGAAATCGTCGCTCGAATTGGTCCAGTAGCATACAGACTGCAACTACCCGCAGAGCTAAACGGTGTACACCCCGTGTTTCACGTATCTAATCTGAAGAAGTGTCTCTCAGATGAAACACTCGTCACTCCTCTTGACGAAATCGAAATCAATGAGAAACTCCTGTTCGTTGAAGAACCAATCGAAATCATGGACAGGGAGGTGAAGCGTACTAAGCAGAGTCGCATCCCGATCGTGAAAGTACGGTGGAACGCAAAGCGTGGGCCAGAATTCACTTGGGAACGCGAAGACCAAATGAAGCAAAAGTACCCTCACCTATTCTAGCTTTCTCAAATCTAGCTTTCAAACAGAATTTCGGGACGAAATTCCCTCTAACGGGGGGATGATGTCACAACTAGAAATTCTATGTCTTGTAATCACTATACTCAAGTAAATGTTGAAATCAAAAACTCAAAAACAAGTATGATGCTTACTCAATGGGAAACTAAACCCCAATTCACTACATCAAACAATTGGAAAACCCTAGAAGTTCTTGTTAAGTCCATTTTGGACTAGAACTTCCTTATTGGATCCAAATGGACCAATAAGCTTCCAATTGGACTATCATGGGCTTAGAACCCTAATTGGGCTCTAATTGGACCCACATCTATTTATTTCAACATTTTGGGCCATGTTGGACCTAGAATGAAATAAATACAAAATTTTGAACCATGATTAACCTAAACTAGCCCAACAAAGTGTAAAAATCATACTATATTTCTTTTGGGACTAAAAACCATCCAACTTAACATCTACATGGGTTAGGACATTAAAGCCCAATTTTTTTTCCTTTCCATTTCAAATTCTCGGCCCAAAAGCCCAAAACCAAGAAGGAAGAGTTGACTTAAAGCCTTGCCACCTCACTTATATCCCACATATCTCCATGCATGGACCAACATGCATCTAGGATTGTCAACTCAACTCTCTCTCTTCTCTTCTTCTTGAACTCGGCCGAGAGCAACACCCACACACACACAAAACACTCACAAACTCTCTCTAAATCACTCAAGGCTTCTTTCTTCTTCTCCATCCAAAATCTCGAGATTTAGGAAGCATTCAAGGAAGTTCTTCCACAAAAATCATCATCTAAGGTAAGGTTTTGCTTGGATCTATGACTTGTATTCCTTGTTTTATCAAAAATCTCTTCCTAATCCATGCAAAAATCGTGATCTTGCACTCTAGAAAACCCCATAAACTCGAAAACTTCATCAAGGAGTGCAAAGGCCAAAAATCACTTCATTTCTTCCATTCTTTCTTCAAAAACCGAATCAACACCCAAGGTGAGTTTCATACCCCCTTATTTTCGGTTTTTATAAGTTTTTGTGGGGGAGAATACAAGCAAAGGTGTAGATCCATCATTATGTGTATGTTGTGGTTGATTTCTATGCTTATATGTATGTTTTGTATGATTTTGATGATAGATCTAGTATGAAATGCTAAAAACCGAGACATGTATTTTATTATAGCATAAAATATACTACTACATGCAAAGTATACTAAGAAAAATGGCCAAATGGCTTGACAACACTTAATTTGGGCTAAAAACTCATTTTTTTGACATAAAATGTTGAAAATACAAAGTTAAAGGGCCTAAAATGAAATATTTCGAAATCTGATGGGTGAGATGAGTCAAAACAGTTTACATAATGTATTTTCTGAAAATATACTATTTAGAGGGTTAAAAACATAAATTCCAAGCTTATTGGGCTAAATATGACATTTTCGGCCCAATGAGGCCCAATATGCGAAATTTTCTAATTTGGAGGACCAAAACTGCATTTTTCTGTAAAACAGTGGACTATAAGTGTTCCATGTACTTTTCAAAGGTTTAAAATGCTTTTCAAATTTAAAAAGGACCAAAGTTGCAAAAATTTTCCAAATTGGGTCAAAAATGTAAAAATTGCGAAAAAGAGGGGTTATAACCGAGAAAACTGCAATTTCAAGGACTTAAACTGTTTTCTATGATAAATATGCTGGAAAATACTTATTTCAATAATTTTTGGTGTTAAAAATGTCAAGAAAATTGATTTAAGGACCAAACCGGAAAGTTTTTAAATAAAGGGGTGAAAAGGGTAAATTCTACAATTAAGGAGGGGCTGAAAACAGAAAATCTTCAAGGCTAGTTAATACATGCAATTTGACCAATTGATGGTACCACGCTTGTCGACGAAATACAATACATTACAATACCAAAAGTCGTTGTTAAACGAATTGGTTCGGTCTCGAACCAATAAAAATCCGAAACCACTAACACGACGACGTTACGACATTACGATTCATAACTAATAACGATGGAGAATTCACTATACATGCGAGTGTGCACAGACGTCTACGCACCATCTTTGGGCCCCAAAAGTGTAAAATCTTGTTCGTTGAGCCTAGCTAGCCCAATGACCTGATCTTAAGGCCCGAAGATCTCTCTCTCTTACGAAGTGTTGGGTTTTACCGATCCGACATAACGTAAAAGGACTTTCAATGGCAAACGTGCTGCTGGTCCCCAAGGGTCCTTCAGTGCTGCTAGTAAAGTCGGTAACTCACGATTGCGGGTTGGGCTTCGGGCCCTTCGCAATTGCATTAGTCTTGAACGACGCGGGGAAATACCGAGGGTTTCGCACCTTCTCTCCTTCCCTCCGGTCGTGGGACTACACAAGTCCGGGAGGATCGAGTTGTGTGAAGAATTACGAGTGGCGCCTAAGGGATCGCTTGTAAGGTTGTCGATTGGACGTTTTCATTAACGTACGTCACAACACTTCACCACCCATTGTATTCTCAATGCCTCCGGAGCTCAACGATTTCCTCTAACGCAACGAAACAACGGTATACAAACTAAGTAATGCAAAGTGATAGGAAAACGTCGGGTTTTCCTAGGGTTTTCAACAATTACAATTATGAATTACCGGTCGAATTTTCACAACTCTTACGCTTACATCTATAGAATTCAAACAAGCATACTCATGGATCAACACATATTTTTACACTATTCTATTTTTAGAAAATATCGGATTTTCTGATGGGTTTCAAACAATACATTGGATTTCAAACACTACTTATAAACTCACCAACATTTCATATGTTGACGTTTTCAAAATACTTGTATTCTCAGGTAACAGATAAGGTGAAGGATGATTTGTACTCTATGATGTTTGCTGTGGTTTAAGTGGTGTTGAACAGTTATTTTGAGAATGTAACGTTTGAACAATGTAACGAATGTAAACGCTATCGGTTGTATTATTCCAAATGTTGGTGATGTTTTATGTTATGTTTCATGTATATGCATTGTGATGGTATTCAATGAGTCACAATAGCCCTCGGACGTTTCCGCCGTCTGGTTCGGGGGTGTGACACCTAAAATGAGTCTGGTCATGAGATTATAGTCGTTGAATGAAAGTAGAGGTATGATCTTTCCTCTCTAAAACTGCAACGTAACTTTATTTAGTTAAAATTACAATTGTACCCTTGTTTCATGGTTTTTGTTTTCTTTTTTTGGTAGGTCATGTGTGGACTTCTGACTATGGTTGTTCAGACAAAGAAGAAGAGTTCCAATGGTTGATCAAGTGAGACTAACATTATCTTATCCTGATTAAATTCTCAATTTTTATTCAAAATATTAATTAGTTATTTACTAATAATAACTTTTTTTAAGAAAAAAAAACATTTTCATCAGGTATTCGCCACTGCATAATGTGAAAAGACCATGGGAGCAATCTTCTATAATTCCCAACAATACCGACCAACTTTATTGTTGACAGATGATCATGATGATAGAGTTGTGTCGTTGCACACTATGAAATTCTTAGTTGTAAGTATTTCATTTGAATTGTGTTTTATTTAATTAAAAGAATATTTGTTTATTATATTTGTTTTATGTTAGACGATGCAATATGTGTTGTGCACAAGCTTGGAGAATAGCCCACAGACAATTTACAACCAAGTGTTCAGGTTAGTATTTTTTTCCTCTTAAACAATCTTCTTTAAATTCAACTTAGATTTGATGATTGTGATGAATATTTGATGTTGTAGGGCTTTGTAATCTTGAAAAGAAAATGTTGGAACTTCATCAAAAGGAAAGTTGTGCAATCAGCCCGACTTTGCCAGCTGAAGAAGAAGACTAGCATCAAGTTTTTTATTCTTTTGTTATATTACTAATAGATTTATAATCTTCCAGGAGTTTTCACCATATGGGAAGTTCATTGTTACTGCTGACCGTGATTTCAAAATTCGTGTAATAATAAACTTCTCACACCCAAATAATAATAATAATAATAATAATAATAATAATAATAATAATAATAATAATTATTATTATTATTATATTATTATTATTATTATTATTATTATTATTATTATTATTATTATTATTATTATTATTATTATTATTATTATTACAATTACTATTTTCTTAAGCGTGTTCTTATCTTCTTTCTAAATGATAGGTCACCATGCTCCCGAAGAAACCTATAGATGGAGCTCATGAGATTCAAAGTTACTGCCTTGGCCATACAGAGTCACTCACTGGAAATGCCATAGTTGACTGCTAAATAAATTTGACATGGTTTATAAACTTTGACATGATGTGTCTATTATTGTTAGCATTATACTCTTGTCATGCATCTATATTCAATGGTAGATTTGTCTCCTGCCTAGCCTTTGCCTGGTAATTTGTGTTTGGTTATATAATTACAGAAATTACCATTTTACCCCTGCAAGATATGCTTATATTTACTTACTAATTGGATGTAATACTTTGTATAGGGTTGGAAGGAACTGGAATTGGCCTTGTTGTACATGAGAAAGATCTTGGAAAGTGAGTTGAATTTGATCTTCATCTTCTCTTTGAACATTCTTTCTTATAAAATTTTGTTTTATAGAATCTTTAATAGGAGGATGTAAATGTTTGCTTAAAATTTTGGTGTCTTGGGACTTCCTGCGGATCATATTCAACATTTCAGCTTGTTACCATATTCAACATTTCAGCCTGTTACCAGGTAATTAATTAACTATCTCTATCTACATGCTCTTTTACTTCACCATTGTATCTATTTTTCTTTAGTAAAAAAATATTAGGTAAAATGATGGTGTGTTGTTATGAAACAAATAGGCAGGACAGACATACGGATGAAAGTGGAAATCCCTCAAGATACAGAGCTTGTGGAGCCGCTAGATGAAGCTTGTATATGGCGCCAAGCAAGAGGCACCGCCACTGAAACTTTAGGAGCCAAGAACAAAGTTGAATCCACAGAGAAGGTTCAATTACAATTTACAAATCTGCCCTTCTGTTTTCTTAAATATTATCATATCTGTGAAACTTAACAGTAGTTGTTGGTCTTCCTCTTGGTGATCCATCAATGAAGTGGCCAACTTGCATCATGTAATAACATTTTAGGTGAATATATAGGTATATGTTATTTTAATGAATAATGTAATCATATGTATGAATATGAAATAAAGTTTTTTATAGATTTGTTTTATCTTTCCATACAGTAAAGACTTGGAGTTGAATTTGGCTAAGTCATTCTTGAGTGAGATGGGCCAATGTACAACTGCTTATCCATATAATCAGTTGCTTGGAGCACTAGTCTTAAAGAATTATGAAAAGCAAGATGCAACTTTACTTAGTTGGAATTTGATGTACAGAGTAGATTAGATGCAAATTTAGATATTGTAAGAAATAGAATTATATGACATTAAATTTTATGCAATGGATTGTATTTTTTGTATATGATATTTTATTTCTATTATGAGGCACTAAATGCAAATTTAATTTAAAATTTTAAAAATATATAAATATATATATTTTTTAGAACATTTAAAATTATGATACGCAAAATTGTGTGTCATCTTCATTTATGACATGGCCTTTCTTCACAGGGACTTCCTTGATACGCATTGCGTGTCATAAACACGCGCGTCGTAAGGTTATGACACACACATGCGTGTCGTCTTCCTTTATGACAGGGCCTTCCTTGATACGCATTGCGTGTCATAACTGCGCGTCGTAAATGCGCGTCATAAATACGCGTCGTCTCTCTTTATGACAGGGCCTTTCTTGACGCGCATTTGCGCGTCGTTTGAGCGTTTTACGACGCGCAATGAGTGTCGTAAAAGGCTGTTTTTCTAGTAGTGTGACTTCGGTCAAAGCCTTTACAGCTGCAGAAGCAGCTGCTTCTGCAACCTCAACTCTCGTTAATGTTGCAAGGAAAGCTGCCTAAAAAAATTTAAGTCCAAAAAGTCAAATTAAAATTGTAAACACTAAATTACAGGGGTTTTCAGTATGATTATGATTATCCGATTCTTTAATGTTAGGAATAAAGATAACGGGATTTAATTTAAACATCTTTACCTGAGCTAGGATAGGGTTACTAGCATCATAAAATGGTGTGAATAGAAACTCAAACAACTTCAAAACAAAAGAAAAGAGAAGGATGAAAACATACGATTAATTGGTTAATGGTAAAACAGAGCAGACATGTGAAATAGTCCCTGTATATATTAATAATTGGATACCTGTTACATGTGCTTGATAGATAGCTTCCCAAACAACAGCTAGTTCTAAGCCAATAGCTATAAGCTGAAACGTGAAATACAATTGTTTTAAAGATGAGAAGTAGATGCAGGAAAAAATCAGAGCCATGAAGGAGAAATCGATGATACTAGATGAAATCGCACATGAAAGGAAAAATCATAAGCCTTTTTCTTGATTGAGAAGATGAAGTCGAGATATGAATGAGAAATTGTGTGCCTCCTTATTTGTTGAACGACTGAAGAAACAGGGCAGGGTAGAAGCATCATTTTCATACCTTAATGCAATTAGACCTTGGGCTTGTAAACCTGGGAATCTTAGTAGATACAGTAGGGTAGGGAAGAGGTGGAACGGTGAGCCTAAGGAGTTGATATCTTATGTACAAATGGTGATATATTAATTGTTGTTCTTCTATGACGAGTATAAGAGAGATTAATTGATAGATATGTAGTCGCCGATGTTGTAGCCTGAGGGTCACAACCCCATTGTGGTGGAGGAGAAGTTACTAAACCACATTGCAATCAAGAGCAAAGCAAATGGGGAGTAAGTCTCTAATCAAAAAAAGCTCTAGCCTACGTTATGCAGGCTTGAAGATTCGATATGGGTTGGAGGTAGTGGAGGTGGGTGAGGGGGCTGAGACGAAGGAGAGGAGATGTTAGAGAACAGATTGATACAAATGTAGGAGAAAAAGCGAGGTTCAAAATTTTTAGGGATTTCATTTTCCCTCTAAGAAGAGCGACACACGTTTCTTAAAAAAATACAGAGCAACATTCACAGATGTCACACATTTTAGATAAAATGCACTCCGTGTTTTTAATTTTTTTTACATGAGCCACTGCATGCAACAATGCGTGACCTAAATCCTTAAATTTTTTGAAGAGATGACACATTTTTAATGTCACTCTCTTTTGTGTAACATAAATCAAAGAGTGTCGTGGTTTGCGCGTCGTAAAAGGGTCTTTTTGTTATAGTGCTAGATCCCACCGAAGTCAATAACGTAGGATCTCAGCATATCCTAGAGAGTCTGTATGGTCCGCTCACTTTGGCCATCTGTCTATGGATGCTAGGTTGTACTGAAGTGCAACCACATGCCCAATTCCTCATGGAACTTCTGCCAGAAACGGGAGGTGAACCAAATGTCACGGTCTGAAACAATAGAGACTGTTACCCCATGGTGGGCAACGATCTTGCGGATATATAAGTCGCCCCGCTTCTCGGCCAATGAACTCTCCTGTATCGCTAAAAAGTGGGTGCTCTTAGTCAATCGATCCACGATGACCCAAATAGCATCGAAGCCCCTTGCCATCCTCGACAGCTTAGTGATGAAATCCATCGTGACCTATTCCCACTTCCATATGGGAATCTCTAGGGGCTATAGCTGACCATGTGGTCTCTGATGCTTTGTCTTGACCAGCTGACAGGTCAATCACCTCTCAATGTACCATGCAATCTCCCTCTTCATGCCTGGCCACCAATAACTCAAATGTAATTTCCGGTACATCTTGGTGCCCCCGGGTGAATAGAGAAGCAAGACTTATGAGCCTCCTCCAATACATTCTGTCTAACCCTACCAGACATCAGAACCTAGACCTGACCATAGGAGATCAAAGCCCCCGACTATCTTGCAAAAATCGGGTGTTCTCACCCTTAATCTTCTCAAGCTTCCAATTCTCCTAACGCATACCCTCAACCTGAGCTTCAGATCAAACCCACAAGTGGAGAATCCACCGATATCCTCATACATGTCACTGGAGTAGAAGATCCAGTTGAGTTGTGACTCAGAGCGTCTGTTAGGTCATAAATTGTGGTTTATACTTCGCTTTTCTTAATCTATTAGAGATCTAGGTCTAGGATAGAAAACACCATGTTTTGGTGTTGATTGGACCGAAATCACATGTGATTTCGGTTAGGCCTTATATTGTTTTGTTTGAGCTTTGGGCTTGGGCTTGGTTATTATATCCAGGTATAAATAGTGTTATCTAAGCCTAAAATAGAGGGTTGGACGTTCAAGGGGCTGTCATATTGCTTGGGACGTGAGTTGGAGAGATCTAGAGAGAAAATAGTGTGTAATCGGAATCTTATGTACCGGACGATTAATCAATACATCATGTGCATTGAAGATTAATTGTCTTGTTTTATTCATCTTATATCTTGCATTATACACTTTTATTGGGATTCCGCACCATCAAAGTGAATCCGATTGATTTCTAGGAGAATTCGGGACCTACAAGTGGTATCAGAGCTTGGATCGGTATCAATCGGGTCATTGCAAACGTTTTTCTTGGAGTTTCTTGGTGTTTTTGATTTATTTTTTATGAAATTTTGGCCATTGTTCTTCGTGTTCTTCGTAATTTTGGAGTTTTGATCGAGTTTGGCCTTCAAGATTTGAAAATCCTATGTTTTTGTCAAGTATTGGACAGTTTAGGTCAAGATTTGTGAAATCTAGGTGGATATCCTCGCATTCAGTCAAACCCTAGGAGGTTCTCGGCGGCTAGCTTCATTCTTCGGTCAGCAGCAACAACTCTTGGTTGGTACGAGGTTCTGGGTTAGCAGTGAGGATTCTCGCTCCAGCAGTACTCGGTCTCGCATGTTCTCGGTCCGCTGACCTCGACTAGCAGGTTTTCGGTCTCGCGTGTTCGGGCAGAGCGATTCTCTGTGCGAGACTTCTTGGCCTCGTGTCTTCGGTTCGGATCTTCAACTTCTCATTCCTACTCTAAGATTTGAATCTTTAACCCTCACAATTGCGGTGCTAATTTTGGATTTTGACATTTTTGGTCCAAAAATCAAGTTTTCGGTGTTAAAGCCTCGTTTTTTATATTAAAGCTTCGTTTTTGGTAAAAAAAGGACCGTGTTTGGTCAAATACTCTCGTTTTGGTCTATAAATTTTGTTTTCGATTTAGAAACTTTTTTTTTTGGTCAAGGTTATTCTTTTTGGACAAAGAATTTTGACTTTCACCTATGACTTTCAAAGTTGACTTTTGACTTTCAAGTTTGACCTTTGACCTTTAACTTTGACTTTCTTGTTTAACTTTCAAGTTTTTAAGTTTGACTTTAGTTTTGACTTTTAATTTTGACTTTCAAGTTTGACCTTTTAAGTTTGACTTTTCAAGATTGACTTTTAAGCTTAACTTTTGAGGTTTCAAGTCAAAGGGCATTTTTCTTGGTTTCACAATCATTTTTGGCTTTGGTAAATTACTCTTTTTAGTGAATAATGAGTTCTTCAATCACCAAGGTTAATGAAACTCCCTGTTCTCAGTTCTGTGAAGATACAATTAAATTTCTTCGTGATCAAATTGATATATTAATTAGGGAAATTGAGGACCTTAAATATGAAGGATACACTCTTAGGAAGGCTCAAAAACCCTTAAAACAAAAATTAGAAGCCTAAACCAAAGACCTGAAGAGGATTAAGGAAGATAATAATATTAAATATGAACTATATAATTAGGCTCATGTAGAGATTACTAGTCTAACTGCCGAGCTTGACACATTGAAAAATAAGTTTGAAAATCCAAACTTTTATTTTAAAAAGTTTGATGTGGCAAGTAAGAAAGTTAAGTCCATGATAAAAAACAATTAAAATTTAAAGATAATCAGAATAAGGGTCTAGGGTATCACAGTGTTCCACCTCCCTTCAATGATAACTATACCCAACCCTTGGAAATCAATGAGGAAAAGACACCTCTCAGTTTGCCCCCCCCTGTGCTAACTTTAGTTAAGATTGAACAATCAGGCCTAACTGAAAATATTGAGGTGAACGATACTGATGCTTCTACTTCATGTGCAGGTAAAGCTATGGAAGATGAGAACATGGAGAACATAAATAATTATAATTCTGTTGATTGTCACACCAGTGCCTCCTTGAACTCAGAATCTGTTGATTCTAATTCAGTTACTTCAAATAAACCTATTGTTGGTAAGTATAGGTCACCAAAACAAGCAAAACAGATTGCTTGTTGTAAGTGTGCTTGTGGGAACAATCAGAGACTAGGCATGGGCATGCTAGCACGGACATGCAGAAACAACTTCTATGTGAAAAAACAGACTTGTTTTCACTGTGGAACACATGGACACATTTCCAGAAATTTCCCACTTCGTGCATATGCTCCTTACTACAGACACGG